TCCCGGTCGTGTTTATTATTGCAGGCAAACCTCCCAGTTCTCTCTGGTCCTGTTCGTGGCCGTTTGGGAGTAAAGTCCATTGGGTAACGGGGCAGATCAACAAGTAAGCAAGGGACCTCTTTTGTCACCGCTGAGGGGGGTAAGCGACTGGCATTGCAAGTTAAAGGAAAACTGAGCCTGACGTCTCTTAAGTCGGGCTGCCTGCGAGAGCCCCGGGCTTCCTACTTGCGGATAGGTGGATATTTGGAAAAAGACGTCATGACTTGCTACTTTTCCCCATCCCCATTCAGGCTCCCAGTGACTAAGTCAAAGTAGATAGCCTTGAGCCAAATAGTGCATTTTAATAGTACTGCCCCCACCATAGGTGCTATATAAGGTTCTAATCTAACGCATCTCCAAGCAGTTTCCACCCCACCCCACTGATTTTGGCAGTGGTTGTAGAAGAAAAAAGTAGATACAGCACACGAGTCAGCAGAGAGCTCAACATCACTTCCTCCCTGTGCATCACATTGATTATTTGCTAAGTGGAGAAATAGTCCCATTCCACACAGATTGCTGCTTCTCAGTTAGTTCATCTACATGGATCAGCTGAAAAGGTGGGAAAGTGGTTTTGTACCCTTGTGTGTTTAGAGGTGTGCAAGAGGGTGGGTGGCCATTTCCACTTTTGACCACACCCACTGCTGACATGCAGCCCCAGAGTGAATGTGGCCATCAAGCCAATGAAGACTGGTCACCTTTGGTATATTTGTTACTCAGGCTACATAAAACGTGTTCTCAATACTCCCAATTATATAATCTGGGGAGGCTCAGAGGTACATCAGTGGCAGAACACACACTTTACATGCCCCATGGCATTTCTAGTTAAATGGGTCGGGCAGGTGACGGCAAAGATCTTTACCAGTGACACTGGCAAGAACCTCCCAGTCTGAGTAGATCACACTGGGTTACTTGTAAAATAGTCTAACCTGGTATAAGGCAGCTGCCTATATTAAGAATATGTAAAGCGCTGTGGTCTAAACCACTGAGTCAAGGGTTGCCAATCAGAGGGTTGGCAGTTCGAATCCCCGTGATGGAGTGAGCTCCCGTTGCTTGGTCCCAGCTCCTGCCCATCTAGCAGTTCGAAAGCACATCAAAGTGCAAGTAGATAGATAGGTACTGCTCCTGCGGGAAGGTAAACAGCTTTTCCGTGCACTGCTCTGGTTCGCCAGAATGCTGGCCACATGACCCGGAAGCTGTCTGCGGACAGACGCGGGCTCCCTCGGCCTATAGAGTGAGATGAGCGAGCAACCCCAGAGTCCGCGACTGGACCTAGCGGTCAGGGTTACCTTTACCTTTACCTTTTAAGGCTAGTATTATGCCTATTTGCTTTTTAATTGTAGTCTTTTCTGATAAACTGGTCACACTTGCTGCTGAATCTTGCATTTTAATGTATATTTTACATTTTGGGTAAACTTGGGTTACAGACGCTTCAGGTTACAGACGCTTCAGGTTACAGACTCCAGTAACCCAGAAATAGTACCTCGGGTTAAGAACCTTGCTTCAGGATGACAACAGAAATCGTGCTCCAGTGGCGCAGCAGCAGCAAGAGACCCCATTAGCTAAAGTGGTACCTCAGGTTAAGAACAGTTTCAGGTTAAAAACAGACATCCAGAACGAATTAAGTTCTTAACCTGAGGTACCACTGTATACAAATTAGGTTAAGTAGGAATAAAATAAATAGTCTTTTGGTTCCGTTGTTTATAGTAAGATGAAAACAAGGCAGACATAGTGGGTGAAAGATTACTAATAAGTAGCTTTTGGGCATTTTGCAGACATTAGTGTTATTTTGCAAGAGAAGCTATTATAAATATCAGTAAGAAAGGTATGTGCTGCTTTAATCTTTTGATTTCTTGTTGAAGTTGTTTTGGTTTCCAGCTTATTCTACCATAAATAGACACTCAACTGGTTGTGTAGTGAAGGTCCATTAAAATTTTCCGAGGATAGGAAAAGCGTTCTCTCCATACTTGACAGCTGAGTAAAGCAAGTGGTACTTCTGTTTCCATCCAGAGAGCTTTTGGACCAAATAAGACTTGACAAATGAAGGTGGAACAAAAGGACTTGATAACAGCATCATGTCCACATGTTATCCGTCTAACTAAAATCTCTTCTGTGTAAGTTTTGCAAAGGCTGGAAAAATCCTAGGTAGCAAGTAGTCCCCAAAATGGAAAATTAATTGTTGGTGTAAAGAATGTGCTCTTCTGCAGGAGCATTAAAAGTCTCTTGACTATAAGTGGGTGATCCAGTACTGCATGATCCAAGGCCATAAGAAAGTATGAGAAAAGCTCTTCAGTTAGCAGAGTAGCTAAAAGAGTTTTATGTTCTCTATGGCTTTGAAAATTGCAATGATAAGAGAGAATGACATGCCCAGGAGAGAGGAGACAGGAACCTGGGAAGTTCTTGGTGACTGGCCTTAGGTATGTGTATGTAGGTTTTATTCCTATTCGAGAGCACAGCTATTTGGCTTGCTTTGGAAATGATGACATGAAGCAGGGCTTGTTCCCTACTCACTTGGCTTGCTAAAGTCTTGCTTGAAGAATTTAAGCCTTTTCAATTTGCCGGGTGCTGAAGTCTTCCAGTTGCTTGATAGTTTCAACAATTTATTTTAAGGAAAAGATATTGATGTGGATCTTCAGTTTGCTCCTGGTGGTTGGAGTATTCCATGAGTAGAGTTTTGTTCATGGGAGGCTTCCACTGGTGGAAGGGCAATGAGAGGTGACTTTCCTTGCTCCTGTAGCCCTTTGTGGCACCACATCTCTTCTGAGTTAATGCAGTCCTGTATGTATTTATGCATACAAAATCAGCATGTCTTAAATCATTGACATTTCCTTTCCATGATTGACCTGGTGAAGATGTAATGTTGGCTTTGTGTATTTTACAAATTCAGAGCCAGCCTTGGGAACACATACTTAACTCTGTTCTTCCATCTGGTGCAAATCTCTGTCCCCTCATTAGCCATAATTACAGTTCAGTATTACATCTGCCCCAAAGCTGACTATGATAACACTCAAACAAGTTACACTGGGCAGTGAAACATATTTTCAAATGGTTAAGGAACAACCTGGTTAGTGTTAACCATGATTTGTACAGGTGAAACTGTAAAGCTGAATCATGTTTAATGCTGAATATGGTTGGAGGGAAATGGGAAAAATGCACCAGACAATGAGGGAAGTGCATTTTACTTAGCCTGGATCTCAGTTTACAAACTGCAATTGGCAGGGAGCCAATGTTATGTTAAGTTGCTACCAAGTATACAATGTTGTGTGCATTTTGTGATCCTAAACCAGGCATAGGTAAACTCGGCCCACCAGGTGTTTTGGGACTACAACTCCCATCATCCCTAGCTAACAGGACCAGTGGTGAGGGATGATGGGAGTTGTAGTCCCAAAACATCTGGAGGGCCGAATTTGCCTATACCTGTCTTAGACTTTGGAACCTTCTAGGAATGGTTGGTAAGGTGGAGAATGCGGTTCTCCATTGTGTTTCCTGCTCCTCAACACAGCAGGTTGCTGGGGCTTTCTGAGAAGGGGAGGGCCAAGGCAGCAGGAGCTCATTGTGGTGCATGTACAATGTAAAGGCAGCATCAGGTTGGCTTTGCCACAGCACCTCATCATTCACTACTAAAACCTTCTCTACTGGAGTATCTAAGGCTGCTGTGCCCATATGATTTCCATTTTATAGATTATATACCGAGTGTAAAATAACTTTTACAGCTTGAAATTTGGTGGGGTATCAGTTGTGGCTATTCTCTGTCAAAAATACAGATGGTATTCTAAGTCTGTGTACATGTGTTGATTTTTGGGGATAGACTTATCATTCCCACGTAATAAATCAGATGTTAATAATGTAGTCCTTTAATATCTACTTGGCAGTCACCCCCATTGAGTTCAATGGGACTTACTCCCTGGTAAATATGAATACAATTGGAGCCTAAGGAAACGTATTCAGTCATTGGCACAGTATGACTTAGCTGCTGCTGTACCATAAAATTCCTGATGTTATTTGCCTACTCAGTGCATGTACATATGCTTTATCTGTTAATTAGTGAAAATGAATTTATCAATTTATAATAAGTTTATAATGCTCCTTGTGTTATATTATTTCATCAAATAATTTAAAGCAATTTCTTTTTGCTAAAGTTCCTGCCTGCTGGTTTAAGACGAAGTACAATCCTATACACAGAATCATAGAATTGCAGAGTTGGAAGGGATCCCGAAGATCATCTAGTCCAGCCCCCTGCAGTGCAACCATGGCAGATGGCAATCCAACCTCTGCTTGAAAACCTCCAAGGGAGGGGAATCCATCACCCTCCAACAGTCTATTCCACTGTTAAAAAGCTCTTATTGTCAGAAAGTTCTTCCGGATGTTTAGTTGGAATCTCCTTTCTTGTAACTTGAAGCCATCGGTCTGGGTTCTACCCTTTGGAGCAGGAGAAAACAGGTTTTCTCCATCTTTCATGTGACAGCCCTTTAGATATTTGAAGATGGCTATCATATCTCCTCTCAGTCTCCTCCTTTCCAGGCCAAACATATCCACTTCCCTTAACCGCTCCTCATAAGGCTCCGTTTCCAGACCCTTGATCATCTTGGCTGCCCTCCTTTGCACACGGTTTAGCTTGTCAACATCCTTCTTAAATTGTGGTACCCAGAACTGGGCATAGAGCCCCAGGTATGGTCTGACCAAGGGAAAATAGAGCAGTAGTATTATTTCCCTTGATCAGGACACTATACTTCTATTGGTGCAGCTTGTGGTCTATCTACCAAGACCCCTAGATTCTTTTCACATGAGATTCATGCGACATTACTTCTTTCGAGAAACTATGCTGGGTTGTAATAATCATAGCATGCTTTTCTAAGTGCTCACAGACCGACTGTTTAATTATGTGCTCTAGGACCTTTCCTGCTATCGATGTCAAGGTGACTAGTTGGTGACCTGGGTTTTCTTTCCCCCCACTTTTTGAAGATATCTTTTGGATAGCTCAGTTGGTTAGAGCATGGTGCTGATAATGCCAAGGTCACAGGTTCAATCCCTGGTATGGGACAGCTGCATATTTCTGTGTTGTAGGGGTTTAGACTAAATGATCCTCAGGGTACCTTCCAACTCTATGATTCTATGATTGTACAGTTCTAAGATGGGGACAACATTTGCCTGTCTCCAGTCTGTAGGGATCTCACCTATTCTTCAAGAATTTTCATAGGTTATAGACAGAGGCTCTGAGTGTACATCCATTTGTTTGCATAAAATAGTTTATTTACTTAAACTGAGAAGTTCCCAAAGCACTGGCAAAACTTAACTGTGATTTTGATGTTCTTTTAGGAGGTTTACCTGTTGGAGATGAATTTAATGTCTCATCATATGGATCACTGAATGGGTAATAAATGGCCCTTCCTCGCCTAACAGGAGCCCTGCGCTCCTTTTCAAATGTCACTAAACAAGATGATTACAGTGAAGAATCTGCTGACTTAACGGTAATTTATTTGTTCAAAACTTAAATATTGAGAATTATTTTAATGTTTTTAGTTGCTTATTATATTCAGTCATTTTGTCAACAGCTTTGCCTCAGATTATGTGCTTTATCTATTCCCCCCCCCCAAAAAAACCCATTAATCTTTTTTTAAAGCTCACACAGGAGAGGATAGAGCTCTGAAGGGATGCAGTAGCACCATAAATTTTGTAACTTCGAAAAGTCATTTTAATGTCACACAGTTATATGTGTGTGCAATATTTTTCTACTGTTTTCCATTCCTGGCATCTGTGGACATACCAGTGTGTGACATTCTATGGGTTAGTTCTGACCTTCAGTTTGTCACTGGCCAACCAGTAATCTGTAGTGCAGGCAAGTATAACGTCTAGCTCCTAGGCCAAATTAGGCAGACCATGGGGGATGCCATGAGATCTGAGGTCTTACCAGGCTCATGAGTAAAGTGGCAGGTTGAAACAGACAAAACTTTCTGGGAAACCCACATCACTGGGCATACATGAGAAAATAAAGTCATACCTTGGGTTGAAGTCGCTTCAGATTAAGCCTTTTCGGGTTGCGCTCCGTGGCAACCTGAAAGTAACGAAGCGCATTACTTCCGGGTTTTGCCGCATGCGCAGACGCTCAGAATGACATCACGCACATGCGTGGAAGTGGCAAATCACGACCTGCGCATCGCAGACTCGCGGACGCGGGTTGCGTTCGTTTTAGGACGCGAACGGGGCTCCGGAACGGATCCCGTTTGCATCCAGAGGTACCACTGTAATCCTTTTGCTTTGTTTTTAATGGGCTATGGCGATAGAGCTGCTGATCTCTGTAGAAAGTGAAAAGCTAAAACTTTTAACCAATAGCAGACACTCCTGAAACAAAAGGCAAAATAGCACAAATAGTCATTGCCAGCCAATGGCATCTTCTGTTCAAAGTAAATTGAAAAGAAACAAATTGGCATCTGGCAATTTGATACTGAGATGCCATCTACGCCTACGCGTACACCTACCCAAGCACTTCAGAGCTGATTCTGATTTCCATCATGTCGCTATAAGCCCAGAGTAACTCCTCTAATCTTACCTCTATTCCATTCTTTCATCACTATAACTAGAGCATCAATTTGGCCCTCTCTTTTCATGTCATTTGAAATTGTGTAAGTGCACTACTAAATGAACCATTAAAAGAGAATCCATTCACTGAAACAAGCATCAGCAACAACTAATATAGCATAAATTTAAGGAACATACTGTACCGCACTTTAATGCATTTTTTCTTAAATAATCTTCTGATGGCTCTCAAAGAAGAGTTGGAATACTAGCTCTATTTAATAATAATCTGTGCAGCTTTTTTTAGGTGCCTGTTTTTTATGGCAATAGCAGCCCCCCCCCCCAAAACTGCATGAGAATGGAAAGAATCTCAAAAAGGGACTGTGATTGGCTGCTGGAATGAAGGGTGGTATCAGTGATGGAGAAGGAGAATTGTTTACATTCTCCAGTGGGGTCCTTTTGAAAAAGGGGGGAAATGGTATAGGATGGATCAGTCAGTTGTATTTCAGAGTTTCCCAAATCAGAGAGGGGTTTGGGGAAGGGGAAGATTGGGCAGGGGAAAAAATAGGGAGAAGTCAAATTTTAGATAGAAGATGATTCATGAATCCCATTGTCAATCGTTAGAGATTGGCATGGTTTATAAGCCATGATTTAGTTAATCATTAGCTAAAGTTGATTTTCCAAACCTGGCCCTTCAGCTTAACTATGGTTTATAAACAACAGTTAAAACTATACTCGCTAGCCAGGGTTAATCTATAATTTATAATTCTATAATCCTTGGATAAAATTAGCCCATCACTTAGCAATATGTTGAACACAGACCTACTCCTTAACTATGGTTAGAACCCAGATTCATAGAGCCATAAGTGAAGAGTGGTTCAGAATTAAAGCTACAGTGGTGCCTCGCAAGACGAAATTAATCCGTTCCGTGAGTCTCTTCGTCTTGCGGCTTAGCGGCTTTAAGAAAAAGGAAACAAACTCGCAAGAACTCGCAAGACGTTTCGTCTTGCGAAGCAAGCCCATAGGGAAATTCGTCTTGCGGAACGACTCAAAAAACGGAAAACTCTTTCGTCTAGCGAGTTTTTCGTCTTGCGAGGCATTCGTCTTGCGGGGCACCACTGTACTCCCAAAGCTCATCTCTTACTAGTGCTTTAAACCAATGATGGCCAAACTTGGCCCTCCAGCTGTTTTGGGACTACAATTCCCATTATCCCTGACCACTGATCCTGTTAGCTGGGGTGATGGGAGTTGTAGTCCCAAAACACCTGGAGGGCCAAGTTTGGCCATCACTGCTTTAAACTCTGCCTGGTAACAGCTACTCTCCTTGCCTCCCCCCTTCTCCCAGTCAAGTTTAAAGGAATGGCTAAAGAGTGATGAATGCTGAAATGACTAATAGAACAGTGTGAGATTCAAGCATGCAATTTTATCACTAGATTTTTATGTGTTGTTTTAAAAGTAATCATTTTTAACACATGAATAATGTGCTAGCATTTGGAACTTTCAGCTCTGTTAAGCAATAGGTAGATAGCGTTTGGAAGTATTTGAAAACATTCCTTTTCTTACCATATAGAATACCTTTTTTCAAAGAAAATGAACCTTTCTGACTACTTGTGTTATATATATATCTTCAGAATAAAAGAACCAAATCGCAAGAAGAGCAACTGAACTCTGGTCTTACCTGGAAGAAAATAGTTAGCTTTGTTGATGAAAATTCAGCCAAGGAAAACAAACAATCCATACTTGAAGATTTAAAGACAATACTACAAGCTTCCAAACAAATAGGTAAGTGGTAATTTAGAAGTGGGATAGTATTTGTAGATGACTGAGCCACACTGTAGTCTAGTCTTGCAGAACAAAAGGCCGCAACATTTAAAAGGCTCCTAATCATCCACAAGCCTGTTTTCCTGTGCATATCCATAATTACCGTATTTTTCACTCTATAAGATGCACTTTTCTCCTCCTAAAAAGTAAGGGGAAATGTGTGTGCATCTTATGGAGCGAATGCAGGCTGCGCAGCTATCGCTGAAGCCAGGAGAGCAAGAGGGATTGGTGTGCACTGATCCCTCTTGGTCTCCTAGCTTCAGGGATAGCCACGCAAAGCCTCTTGAGCGCAGCTGGAGCACTCCTGCCTCTTCGCTCAAGAGGCTTTGCATTGCTTTCTTGCTGCTTGTTTACCTCCTCTAAAAACTAGGTGCGTCTTATGGTCGGGTGCGTCTTATAGAGCGAAAAATATGGTACTCATTTGTAGGATATTAACGGTATGATGGAATTAGGCTAGCTTTGCAGATGAGTCCTCAAAAGTTGTTATCTTATTATCCTTGCATTTTAAAAACCACCTTTTTGGGGGGGCGGATCTCTAAGCTGAAACTTTGGAGTGAACACCTTTAAAAAACTCAGTTCTGGGATTACAGTTTTAATACCCCAAATATCTCCCCACTTCGGTGTAATACCAGATAGGTACCTTTAGAAAAGCCACAGGCACCATGATGCCTATAATCATCACTGTTTTCCCTTTTACAGACTAACTGAACAAAGGCACAAGGCACACAACCTCCCCCCACCCCGGCCACTTCATAATTGCTGCACCTAACAGTGCAGGCCATGGCACATCCATTATATCTTCTTTCCTTTCTTTCTGCTTCTAATGCAAGAGATGTTTACTGGCAGAATTCGCCCCAATAGTATGTGATATAATATTTGATCTTCAAGTATTAATAAAGTGCCTTATTTTCCCCACTAATACCTTTAATGTAAGCAATCTTGCATAGTCTTCAAAATCATTGCAAAGTAATTTGATAGTGAGGCACCAGCATACCTCAGCTTCTTCTGTAAATACACAAAGCTTTCTTTCCACCCGCCTCCCAGCCAGAAAGAACACTCTGTTCCTACTGTCTGTTGCCCTTGGACCACAGGGCTGAGGGGAAGCATACTGGGCTGGGACTAAGGTTTGCTGGATTGTGTGGCTTTTCCTGTGTGTTGTGCACACACATTATTAAAATCTCATCTAAGAACGTTTGAGAATAATTTGATCAAAAATTGGGATATGAATCTTCTAGATCAATGCATATAGACTTCACTTTAGCACTCTGCATCTGGGAAAGGAAAAGTAAATTGAAGGCCAAACTCTGAGCATGGGCCATCTACTCTTAACTTACTGGGTCCTGATTGTGTACCAAAAAGATAGCAATGGAGGAGCTGAGTGCTAAGGTTTTGAAGTGTTGAAGTGATCATATTGAATGGTTGTTGTTTTTTAAAGAGTTTGACTTGTGTTGCTAGGGAATCTTTTAAATTGGGGTTTCTGATCCACCTGGTTGCAAGAGGAAATGTCTGGGTCGCCTTGGCCAAATCTAGTTGCCAGTGGCAACCAGGTTCCCTGCTGACAGCAAGCCTGTGTAGTCTATAAAGTAATCCAGTGTTTGCTTGGAAACGAGCTACCTTTTTGGGTAACTGAATCACATCCTTCACAGCTGGCCTGACTGCTTTGGGTAACATGAGCCAGGCCAGAGGAGGATCACTTCTGAACCATAAG